CGGCGGCGCAGAGCTGTGCCCCCTCACTATTGGGGGGGGGCTAGAAAAAAGGGGGGGGGCATTTCTAAAAACTAGGGGTGGCGTTTTCAGAAAGCAAACCACCAGCCTCCATCCCCCCTCCCTGTAGCCCCAGCCCCGATTTTTCACTCCCCACAAGCCAGGACCTTCCCAGCATCACCAGGAGGGTCTGGACACCCCGGTTCTCCAGCATCTTGACCTTCGCTCCCGCATCGCTCCTCCACCTTCCCCTTCCCCACCTCCCTTCGTTTCTTCTCTCCCCCCAGGCACCTTAACAAGGTTATTTCCAGCGTTATTTTGGCACCAGGGTGTTGGTTTTCCCCTCCCAACCCGAAGCCACCTTCTTGCCAGCCGCACTCATGTAATTGCTGCTTGCGATCGCTCCTTGCACCCTCCATTTTCCACTTCCTCCGCTGCGCTTAAAGAGCGCCGGCTTTCCTCTACTTCCCCAACGCAAGCGCAGATAGAAATCGCTCCGGTAGAAATCGCCTGAATTAATTTCTCATTGCCTACGTTCACTTGCAGAGAAGGGAATTTGGGGGAGGAAGGTTAGAAAAAAAAAAAATTGGGGAAGAAATACCTAAGAAGCCCTTCAGTAATATAATTTCATACTAATATTATGGTCACGCTGTAAATAGTATTTCCAAGCAGAGGGAACCCAGCTCTGAGCCCGAGGAAGCGGCTCCCTGGTCCCCATCGTGTGCAGGGGGTTTGGGCCAGTGACCGTGTTTATTCAGGGTGAAGCTCAGCTGCCCAAGGAGCTTGGTAATAAAATACATTAATCACCGGTCGATCCCTAGGTGGCTGAGCCACCTTTACTTAACCCAGAAGAGGAGCGTGTATCATTTTATATATGTTCCACAAATAACAGCAAAACCAAAACAAGCCTTTGCCCTGTTTATCAGGGCCCATCTCTGAGAAGGCAATTAGAGGAACAGGTCGGTGTTGCCAGGCTGGAATATCCTCCGGGGTTTTGCCGTAAGCTGTTTTCATCCAGGGGTTGATTTTTTTCCCCTGAGAAACTCGCTGCAGGGAGTCACATCTTAAAAAAATACATTAAAAATTGCCAATTTGCTGCTTTTTTCCTCTATTTCCTTTTTTAATTTTTTTTTTCCTGAGTGCCCAAGGAGCATTCACCCCTCAGAGTTCTTGCCATATCTTTTGTCTATTCTTACCCCCCCATCTCATCCTTGCTCCCAGTGGGTGGGTGCTGCAGGGCGAGGGAGGCAGCAAACCTGCTCGAAAGCGGGCGACTCGCACCCCATTTTTTAAATTTTTTTTTTTTTTTTTTTTTAAAACAAGGGGGCCGCCCCCGCCTGGG